TCTGCCTGGGTGGAAAGTAAACATCTTATTATCATGGACTTAAAAATAACGTGAGTAATATTGTTGAAAAAAAAAAGGTATTCTGCCTGGGTGGAAAGTAAACATCTTATTATCATGGACTTAAAAATAACGTGAGTAATATTGTTGAAAAAAAAAAGGTATTCTGCCTGGGTGGAAAGTAAACATCTTATTATCATGGACTTAAAAATAACGTGAGTAATATTGTTGAAAAAAAAGATATTCTGCCTGGGGAGAAAGTAAACATCTTATTATCATGGACTTAAAAATAACGTGAGTAATATTGTTGAGAAAAAAAAGGTATTCTGCCTGGGGGGAAAGTAAACATCTTATTATCATGGACTTTTCCATACTGTTGTCAAGCTTATGCGGAAAAATTAAGCTATAAGTGATACATAATTCAAGTTGCAACTACCTTTATCTTTTGTCCTTGGTGTTCGCAAACCTAAAGTTTGTCAAACTGAAATGAGCGAGTGATTCATCGAATTACAAAAAATTCGAAGTGAATAAACTTTAAAACCGATACATTATTTGTTTTTACAGAACAGACAAAATACTGTTATGCAGCTGAAGTTCTGTAGTTACTTCGCAATAATATGTTTATAAGGTTAAATACTAATTCTAAATTATCTTTGCCAGAGAATATTTAACATAATTTTGATTGAAAATTATGCTTTACTTAGGTCCAGTGGTTATTCGAACCCAGACTGAAATAGAGATCTTTCAGTAAGGACATATTTTCATTTAATTGTCAATTTATAGCAGCATATCGAGACCATGTGAGCACTGTTATATTATAGCTAGTTTTTATTATAGTTTGTGCAACAAAAATGTTATTGGAATACTGTTATGAATATCCTGATCGACAGATGGCACTACATGTCCATAGCTAACTGCTGCATATTAGAGGAGTATTAATAACGGTGCTTTCCATGTTCAATCAAAACATTTTAAACTACTGAAAGAAATTACGAAATTGTGTTCACTATTTTGTTTACTATAGAAAACACGACTTGTTTTTTGTTGTTTTTTTAAATTAACATTTGGTGCCACTATTTAATCTTTGTGGTTGATTAATTCAAGGATTAAACTTGTAGTTTTAATATAACAAGTCCATCTTCAATCATTACCTACATTTTTAACATCAAAATAAAAATTCAGCATATTTACAGATGTTATGTTATTCGTTGTTCTGTATAAAAAGAAAAATGAAGGGGATCAGAAATATCATTGGTTGTTAGTCTTGTATCAATCAAGGGGAGCTGTTTTCGTACCACCAGGATTTGTAATCTCTAACCACCATCCATTTTTGCGACACCATATGCACTAAGCCTTATTTTGTCTCTTTTTTTTCTTTTGTCAAATAATGTTTATTACGATTGTCAAAATCACATTGCGAGCCTCAATAAACTGAACAATGACTAAGATTGTAACGTAGATAAAACGACTTTAATTAGTATATACAGACTAATATAGTAATACATAATTCAAGCCTACTTTCCACGAATGAAATGTCCGACTGTTACTCGTAGAATATCCACAGTAAGAAAACTAATATTCATGTCAACTCAACATACGTGTAGATTAATAGATGTATATAAACACACATCGGTGTCTATTTATGGTAACAAACCAAAGAGTAATATTTTATTTCGTTTCCAGTTTCTTCATGAATAAACAAGACTGGCGTGATTAAAGGTACGCAGTGCGTGCCCAGATTTAGCTTGAAGAGCTCTGTGTTACTGATTAGGTTTAAAAGTTTATGTTGTAGTGAGGTACTGATTAGGCTTAACACGTTCAGAACCGTGATGGACCGTGGGTAAACCGCACCTGTGGCTTGTCAGCGTGACGCAGCTTAACATTTTACCGTAAGCCCATAAAACACTAAGCTTCCGAGTTCTCAAAACCCATTAAGTTCCAGTCGGTTGTGATAAGCCAGGACAAACAAGTTGAAACACTTCAAAAATGCTTTTTTTTTTCTTCTAACGGGTCCGATAACTAGTTTTTGAAAGTTTAATAAGTACGTTCTAAATGTATGAACGTAATTTCTTCTCTTTTTTTTGCCTTCTACATCCACCAGTATATTTTGAAGAACTGTAACATAAGGTCTTTCTATCTGTATATTTATGTATTCATATTCTCAAGGTAAAGGTATAAAATACCCAGCGAAAGTCTAACTACATACAAATATACTTGACTATACACGCATATATATATATATATATACACACAAACATACACACATATATATATATACACAAACAAAATAACTTTTTCGTTCACTTTCGTTGAGACTAGCTTACTACCGGAGCGTACATACAGGAGAAACATGAATGGCTTAAATTAAGCTGCAAAGCTGCTAGAAAGCAGGGTTCTGGCAGAGTGTATAAAAACATTTATTTCACAGTAATATTTTGTATATTGATATCGGGTTTATTTCGCGTTTACTTTACGTAAAGTACGTCACATATTCTTTAAGTCCAAACTACAACAACAAACAACCTTACCGAACAAATCACTCGGCGAATACTGGAAGGATGACATGAATGTCCGCGGAAAATGAAACCGATCTCCGGCCTCTCCAAGAATGCATCCTTCGGAAGAAGAAGAAGTGGGCCAACTTACAACTGCTGGGATAGATTTTACGCCGGTGCCGATATCTTCCTTGCGGAATACGTCCGTCCTCGTATTTTTTACGAGGAAAGAGCGGGGCATTTTAGTTGTATTAACTATTATATATGTTTAAACTCTATAGTCATATTTCTTGTCGTTTTATCATTATGTTGATACCAGGTCGGATCTTAGAGGTTTAGCTTGCCTGATACGTTAAACTGAGTAATTGGGTGAAAGAAACATTTCGGAATAGTTCGGGGTGTCTTCACCCTTCGAAGTCATAAGGTTGAATGATGCCAGCAAAAAAACGCCACGAATCTTTAAACCCCTGCCTGCCCCGTTATTTTCTCCCTCGAGCTACCACACTTGGCCTCGGTTTCGTCAGTCGGTGACGCGAGGTTGCAAGACTTGACGTGTGATTAGCGAAGTCTCCCTGCAACTGACACCACTCACTGTATTCTTAGTGGACACCTGGGTTAGTTGCCATGACAACATCGATAACTGGGATGGATGAATGTTTTCTATAGTGTTCAAATACGTTTTGAGAAACAATGACATAATCATTAACTTTATACTCCATTCAATATTTGATTCAATGTTGGAGTTAACTAAAACTAGTCGACGCTATATATCTCTCTCTCTGTTAAACAGTGGCTTTTTTTTTTCAGCAACATACGCATTTCTACAATACGCGAAGTCTATTGTTGTAAAAAGATATCCACAATCACCTTTTGTTAACAGTCTGATGCATTTGAAACACGAAATAGAACCAATCATATAATATTGTGTTGACACGAGTTGGACATAATTAAGCTCGTTAATACGCGATGACACGAAAGCATCAGATATAAAAACAGCCTGAAAATCGGCCAATAAATACAACAGGCTGCGAGTGTCAAGTATTTTACTCAAACATCCACCAGTTCAAGTCCGTAATATGATGTATTTAAAATATAGAATGCCCTCCCCCGTGGCACAGCGGTATGTCTGCGGACTTATAACGTTAGAATCCGGGTTTCGATACCCGTGGTGGGCAGAGCACAGATAGCCCATCGTGTAGCTTTGTGCTTAACTACAAAACAAACAAACAATATTATAGAACCATGTGATCATGTGAATAACTGAAAGCATGGAATCTTGAACCATGTGCTCATGTGAATAACTGAAAGCATGGAATCTTTGATATTTGACACGTTATAATATTGATTATCAGTCGATACTAAACAGAAATATTAGTTAGTGAGTTAATTTTTATTACTGGTATACGGATTTAGTGTGTTTTCATGAGAAGTGAATAACAACCGTTGCTTAACAAGAGTAACAGAGACTTAACCTTGTGTAATATACTACATGGCCTACAAACGGGAGTATCGTTCTGAAATGTCTTTCAGAACTCTTTTATGTAGAAAAATGTAGAACAATGAGTGGTTAAGCTGCATGTTTAAAACATTACATTCGAATAAACATGACTGAAGATTGTTCTTCTGTTTATGTACTTCTTGTTTATATGTTATCTGAGACTCATGACTGAAGACAGTTTGTCTGTTTATTTATTTCTTGTTTCCAAGTTTTTCTGTTTATATATTTCTTGTTTCTATGTTTTTGGGGACTCATAACTAAAGACAGTTTTTCTGTTTATGTACTTCTTGTTTCCATGTTGTTTTTCCATGTTTTTCTGTTTATATATTTCAACATAGAAACAAGAAGTACATTAACAGAAAAACTGTCTTTAGTTATGAGTCCCAAAAACATAGAATGAAGAAGTACATAAACAGAAAAACTGTCTTTAGTCATGAGTCCCAAAAAACAACATAGAAACAGGAAATAAATAAACAGACAAACTGTCTTTAGTCATGAGTCTCAAAAACAACATAGAAACAAGAAGTACATAAACAGAAAAACTGTCTTTAGTTATGAGTCCCAAAAAACATACAATAAAGAAGTACATAAACAGAAAAACTGTCTTTAGTCATGAGTCCCAAAAAACAACATAGAAACAAGTTTTTGAGACCCATGACTAAAGACAGTTTTTTCCGTTTATTTATTTTTTGTTTGTACTTTGTAATTTTAACGGGTTATTACTTTCCGAAAACGTCTGAATTAATGAAAACTAAATTTAAACCTTTTCCATCTCACCTATAACAAATGACTGTCATGACATTTCTTCGAGAGAGTATGTACTCAATGTTGAGAGAAACATATGTTGTAAAAGTAAGGAAAACAAAAATATGAGAGCTCAATTATATCTTCATTTGAAAGACGATCGGCGTAAATATTCTAGCAATAAATATTTGTATTTGTATATGAGTTAATTCAAGTATTCGTTTCTCAAATTGCAGTCAATGCTTATGAACATTAGCAACCTAGCGGAGAAACTTTCAAATATCGTATCCGATCTAACTTTTAGCCGCGGCTCATAGAATTTTATGTTGTTGTTTTTTTTCAACTACAAACTCTTAGCTCATAGCTCCATTTCTTGAGTGATTTGGGATCTAATTACAGCGGCGACTACTGAGGATTCTCTCTTGTTTTCCAACTACAAACGTTTAGCTCATAGCTCCATCTCTTGACCGATTTGAGATCTAATTACAGCCGCGGCTATTGAGGATTCCCTCTTGTTTTCCAAGTACAGACTTTTAGCTTGAGTTATATTTTACAGCTGCGGCTATTGAGGATTCCTTATTGTTTTTTTAGATAATTTTAGCGGGAACATTAAACAAATAAAAGACCCTAATTTTTTTCTCGTCCCTAGTGATTTTTCATAATCACTCTTTAAGTTATCTATCTACAATTTAAACGGCCAATAATGACATATTTTCTGAATACTAAATGATAATGATTCCACAGGCAATCTCTGTCAAAATACATACCAACACTACTGATTACTGCCCACACAAAAATACGCTAACACTCGTCCTTCATTTTCAGTTTTCAGGTAGGTTTGTTTCTGATATTTTATCGAAATCTCTAGAGTATTTATCTTACATCAGTTTTTGCCCCCACCTCAGCGACTTCCACTTGTTTCCCACGTGTGATATCGTAACTTCCAATTAAATATATAAGAATTAGATGTACTTCCGCAAAGTCCCCGAAAAAAAGTGTTTCGTTTCAAGTTTGTTTGTTTGAAGTTAAGCACAAAGCTATACAAGGGCTCTCTGTGCTCTGCCCACCACGGGTATCGGAATCAGGTTTCTAGCGTTGTAAGTCCGCAGACATACCGCTGTGCCAGTGGGGTGGGGGTGGGGGTACTGTTTCAAGAGTAAATAAATTATGAGTTACAGATATTTTCATTTCTTGCTTTTGAAGCTCATATGCCATGCTGTGTTGTAGCCTATAGAGTTTATAATACTTCTTGTGATTCATGGTATGCGTACGGTTTACTGACATCACGACGGTGCAAATTGCAACGTTAAGCGTCCATTATATGACGTCATTTTTAGTGTCTACTGACTGACTGACAGACAACACCCTACGATATAGTGATGCCAATTGTTATAATAGGTTATCCCTCCAGGCTACCTTCGGCCCTCTTTCGGGGAAATGACGTCTATATGGTATAAGATATTTTTTGCTATATATTTATTTATTAAGATTCCATCAACCACGTGGGTCTTTAATGAACTATGGGTGCACATGGAAGTTACGAGTAAGATTACCGCTTTATAAAATAGACATAAAATAACGATACATGGATGGAAGGTATTAGATTTTGCATTTTTATCGGTACGGTGTGTGTACTTATACAGGAACGCGTCTATCCCGAAGGTTGCCGGGCGCCTTTCACGTGACACGATAAAGATACGTTCT